GGAAAGAAAGAATGAGAGATCCTCAACAACGAAAAAGCTTACGATGTTGGGTTATTTGGTGCTAGGAGCAGAAAAATGAGCTGCACTGTGAACCAAATGGTAAAGAGAAGCCGTTTGCTACACCTGAAATATCATAACTTGTTTAGAAAAATCCAACACAAGAACTGTAAAACTAACTGTAAGAAATGGAACTGAATTTCTAAAAAATCAGAACCTGAACCTGTTTGTAAGAAGAATTTTCTGGCTTACGACCACCATTAACGCAACTCTTGTGGCTGCCTCTTAGAACTTTTTGGGTCCCACCACAATATTAAGAGTTTCCCCTTCTATCTCTTCCGTAAGAGGTGAGTTTAGTAAGGTTTGTGCACTATTCGTGGGCCGCACTCATACGTGGCGGCCCGCGATTGGTTTGATTATTATTATTATTATTATTTTTTAAATCATAAAAAAAAAAAAAATCAAAACTAAAAACCTAGATCTAAGAATTTACTGTTAATTACGAATCCACGATAGGTTCTCAGCTTATACGATTCGTCTGGTTGGAATCAAGCATCTCACCGAGGACAATTTTTAGGTCTCCGGGAAGTGATGACCAAAAGTTTAGATTTCTTTTATAGCGCTATTACCCTTTTGTCGGGTGTTCAAGAGTTATCTCTGTGAGATAACTTAAGTTTGTTTAGGACTATTGCGAGTTTGTTGTGATCAGCAACAAACTTTTAGGTGATAGGTGTTAACGTTGTTTGGACCTTCGCAAAGGAATTATATCTTAAGAAGCTATGTATGTCTTTTTTATAGTCGCAGACGAACTGCTTATTGTTGTTTTTTTTTGGAGAGAAAAAATTTCTTTCGAAGATTGGCGATGTCTCGCAGAAAGCTTCGAATCTAGTTGAGATGAATTGATACCCGTTATCCGTTACGATTTTGTACGGGACTCTGTGTCTGCAAACTATGTTCTTCCATACGAAGACTTTAAATTTACGAAGACTTTACAAGAAAGTCCTTGTAAATTACTCGTAAAGTTTTATGACGAATTAAAATCGACGTAGATGTTAAATGCTCATAATGTTTTATTGGGGCTATATGAGGACGTACATGTACACTCGTAGTAAAATTTTACATGGACTTAAGATTCGCTTCGATGTAAAATCATCGTAACATTTGCACACCATAATGATGATTTAACTTTGAAAGTGTACAAAGACTTTACAACTAATCATTAACAAGTAATTTATGACGAAGGGGGTTAAGGATGACTTCACGATGAAGTCTTGTGTCTCGAATTATGACGAAGAATTCGGTTGTGAACTTTACGAAGACATTACGATGAA